GCGGGGCACCGGCCCAGACTGATTTCAAGGCCTCCATATCCAAGCCGCCTGGATTGCGGGTGTAGTTCAGCACAAATGCAGTTGCAGCAGCAGCTCTGCGTTGGGCGAAATAGCCCGCTGGCCTCCATCCTTTGATTCTTTGCTTCGTGACATTCTCAAACGGCATTTCGTGAAACTTGCCTGCGAAAACTCGCAGGGATTCGAACTCTTTGACATCTTCCGCATCTTGATTTCTTGTGTCTGACTGGTCTGGCACGAGCGTCGGTGACCCACCAGAGCCTCGAATGGTCTGACACACACCGTGGAAATCCGATTGCTCCTACATCTCCATGTGGATTTAGATGGGAAGGTTTCAGGATTTCGGGTTTCCTTACGTGGTGGCTGGCCGGAAAAGGCGTTAGCTATCATGTTGAAAACTATACCCGCTCACGATATGATCAAAAGCTACTTGTAAAAAACCTGTTTCGTCTCAGAGGCGAGCATATGGGCAGCAGGTCAAGTACATCATCTTGGTGGGATCGGCGATAACATCCGTCCTGCCCTGTCTGTCGACACTGTCCCGTAGCCAACCAAAAGGGTTTTCACACGAGCTCTTTGTCTCCACTGAGGAGGCGAAAATGGACCACGCATGAGCCCGCACCTGGGGGCTGCGTAGCTCCCAAGAGGCTTGTTCGCCTTCAACCAGGATCTCGCGAGTGAGGACCCACTCGAAAGTCCCCAAACTTGCTGTCAACTCGTTGACGAGTTTTTTCTCCTCCCCGTGCTGGAACTGCCTCTGGGCTGTGTCTACGTGTCCTAGCTTCATGGCCAAGCTTCGGAGGAAGTGCTGGCTATGATCCAGATCTCTGTCCTCCTTGCAGAAAACGCGGACATAGGCATGGGGGAGGCACACGCTGTGGTGCATCTGAGACCAACATCTCGCACTGGCAAGCTGGATTATAAAGTCCATGAGGTACTGGCTTATCGTGACGTCCTGTTGCACCGAGGGGTCGTCCCTTGGCAGGGGCTCATTGTCCTCGTCGTGAGATCGCATGTCCAAGCTTTGCAACACGTGGGGGTCCTGAAGCAACGCGGCTAGCTCCCGGACCGTCTTGAACCAGCCACCGTTGCTTCGCTCCGCTTGAAAGTGAAGCTTGGCCATGACACCGTCCTGATGCACCCTGAGTGAACGTGCATACTCACGGTGCAATGGGTTTCCAGCCAAAGTCAAGATCCGGATGCGAAGATGGTGTTCATGGTCGTGCAAGAACGCCTCCACCATCCTGTCCGTGTCGCCGTAGCGTTGCCTCAAGAGCTGGAACTGGGCCCGGGTGTTCGGGTCGTCAAGCTCATCTGCCACGGCTGCCGCTGCTTCCTCAGGCTCTCCTCCCAAATCACCCTTGGACGTAGATCACACCGCGAGGTGAACAAAATGATACACACTTTTAAGAGGGGGGAAATAATCGTACCCATCTTTGCTCTGAAACACCGCCCAATGCCTAGGAAAGAGTGCGTTTGCACATTGCACATCACATCTTTGATGCTTATGTACTCTTTGTTGCCTCTTGCTG